ACAACAGAAACAAATGAAGGGGCGCTTTTGAACGCTGCAGCGTCAAAAAATAACAGGTGTAGCTATAAAAACGTTTTTCTGAAAATTTTAGGCAGAAGAACACAGTCGGGCTTTGAAATGGTCGAAAAATAAACGTCTATGTTCTAGTATTGTTCCAGCGCAATGTGCCTTGAATCGCTGACAAGGCACAAAAGCCAAGCTATGTAAAGAGTAGTTTTGGGGAAAACTGTTTTTATTCACATAATATCTCTTTGCCAATTTAAATACCTATGTTCTTCAAATCTAAATCTAATTTATATTATGTACTATCGGGGCCTCGAACGCCTTGACACCTTAAGGGCCTAAATTGTTTGCACACACACGCTCGATTTTGCTCCGCCCCCGTTCATTCATTTTTCGAGTCTAAGCAGCGTCGGCGCACCACTGTAGATGTTTGCCCTAGCAAACCAAGCTCTATGTAAAGCACTTAGGATTGAGTATTGCTTATTACCCGCATCCGTAGCGCTCATTTGGCAACGTCGCATTTTAGTCAATTTGAAACCCAATTAAGAATCGCTACAAAATATTATATGAGGCTTCGTGTAAAATTTGAACTAGCGATTGCCCGCTCGGGTCACAAAATTGCTATCGCACATTCCGAGGTAACTATGCAATTTCCCGAGAAAAAAGTAGCCCTTTCTACAATTATTGTTGATATTATGAGTGTAAATCTCATGATATTAGTTTAGCTAGTTAGGGCGAGAAATACAAAATCATACAATTACTTTCGAATTTTACTTATTTAATAGGTATTTAATTTATTCGGAACTAATAATTTAAAACAATATGTTATTGAATTAATTAGTAAAGAGTTAAGGAATATTTGTGGCTTAAAAACAATNCTCTAGCGGATTGGCGTCGTGGGGAGCGTGGATGGCCTGAAGGGGGCGCCACCGAAGCGAAGCGATGCCGAGTTACGCCGAAGTTGCCCGAAACGCGCTCGCTCGGTGCATCCGCTGACCAGCAGGCGCGCGAAGTTTTGAATAGAGCGCTGTGGTTGGCCCGCTTGTAAATCCGCGCCTTTTATGTTAGTGAAGTTGCTGCACTGAGGTTTTTTCTTCACGAAAATGGCGTCTTCAAAATTCCAAAATGCAAATGATAAAATCTCTCTCAAAATGGAAAACTTGTATAAATGCTTAGTAGGTATAGATGATGATGTTGTATAGATGATGATTCTCTTCGTGGTTATACAACCACGAAGAGACTGACCATTAGGCGATTTCTTGAGGTATTCTTTGGCGTGTACCGTGCGTGGCTTTTCGGCGTATTTCTGCGTATTTATACTGCACAGTACTGCACGAAAAATAATGTAGAACCACTCACGCGAACTCGATAAACGTGATTGTATCACGATAAACTTGGTTGTAGGTCGTTTTCTTGAAGCCTTCTGTGGCGTATACGTGAGTTTTCGGCGTATTTTTGGTACTGCACGAAAAATAATGGATGGAGCACGCTACTGCACACGGAGGAACTTCTGCACCAAGACTCAAATTTTTGCTCGAAGGACCATGTCGGAAACAGTGTGAGGTGTGTGTTGTATGATGGACTGATGCCTGGCAGGTCTTGGTACAGGAAAACACCGTAATTTGCAGTTATCACATTATTTATATTCAAGACACCATTTTAACACCGACTCCACGTAAGATTCGTACAAGAGAGTTGCCATTGGCAAAAAATATAAAAAATTAAAAATATTTAATGTTGCTTGTGTTAGAATATATATATCTACANCTCTTATTGGTCGTAGTAAAAATATAGTAAAATGCGTAACCAATTAGAGACGGGGTGAGCACGTGACCGGAGCGATGCGCTTACGCTAAAATTTCTACAAAGTGGTCAGGCGGAAGAGTCCCCGATAGTACATTATGATGAAGTTCAAGCTCCGTACAGCTGTTCAGCGCTTTATTGATACGACGAAGTTTGGAGAGTCAGAAGTTAGTCCGGATCGCACACCCGATCTGTAAATCTAGTTAAGGTAAATGTATAGATGCAATGATGCAGTTTGCATTAAGTTTATAACTGCTAACAGCTGAGTTACATTATAACTATGCATACAGTTAAGATCCGTCTCAAAACTTTGTATTTGCGCACTTTCTTACTCCGCACACAGATTTCCAAACATTCGCACCATCCATCCCTCCCTCGCCCCAGTTTGTGCAAATAGTTCTGTATGAATCGAAGGTATGCCTGGCATGTTATCACACCGGGGCGATAGGAATGTAACATGATATCGTATTTGCCGACGAAGCGACACGTCCCAGGCTGGAAAAGGCGAGTTGTTCAACGCTTGCAAAATGTACAGTCGAGGGTTGGTTTATCAAAAAGTTAGCGCCCGCATTCTACTCGCTGTTTTCAAAGGTAACCACAATAAATACATAAATAGTAAAGCTTTCTGTACTGATACTTCCGTTTTTTTTATATTATGTGGTATGCCAGGGGCAAATTTTAATTTACATACTCTTAACTGGTCCATAAAACATATCAAAAATATGAACTACATCAGTTCATGATTTGCTATTTTAATGGCGATTTCTACCAAACTACTGAGCTATTAGTACCGATATTGCACAAACGAATCGCCAGAAATCTTCTCAAGTCTTAAATACTTTTGTGCAGTACCAGTAGAATCACATCAATACATATCGGTAAAGGTTACGCATGTAACATCATAGCCGTATATGCAGACGATGCGGCGAGACGTCGCTAAGTCGGAGACAGCATGGGCGCCAAATTAAATGAAGGACCCTCGTGTTTACCTTCCCATTACAACGGGAAGGGCGCGTGGACAATGGAAAGTTAACGATGAAACCTATCATAACTGTTACGTCACATCTCATTACTGATTACTTTCAATTTATTTTTCAATGATAGAGCTTAAGAACATCAAGGGAAGCCTGAAAATATTTTAATTTAGCTAAGAAATTACCTCAGTAAATTGAAATTAGAAATAATAATATGGCTTCACAAAATTATTACATCTGTTTCATCTTTATCATTTCTCTCAATCTCCTCAAATTAAATTAATAATTGCTTTTTCCCAAGAAACGAAGATCTTTTGATTTTTTTAGAAAGTACTTTATTTACGTAGGTAGATCAAGCTTCTGATTAATTTGGAAAAAAATATATTCAACTAGCTTTCCGCCCGCGGCTTCGCCCGCTTGGAATTTTGTCTGTCACAGAAAAACTTTATCGCGCGCGTCCCTGTTTCAAAAACCGGGATAAAAACTATCCTATGTTCTTTCCCGGGACTCAAACTATCTCTATGCCAAATTTCATTAAAATCGGTTGCGAGGTTTAAGCGGGAAAGCGTAACAGACAGACAGACAGACAGACAGACAGACAGACAGACAGACAGACAGAGTTACTTTCGCATTTATAATATTAGTTGGGAAGTTGGGATTCCAGTCAATAATCAGTCCACGTTTTCACGTGTTTTTTGTATCGTACTGCCACTAATTTATGCTCGAGCTCGTCATAACGCGAGTAGGCCAGCTCACCTTGTGCTAAATGATGTTAATTTTTGTTTAACCTCTGGAAAGGGTGTGGGTGATATTGATTTCTGTACAACATTTCTGGCTTATTATCAATGTACGTGAGTGCACCCTTCTTCGCAGTTAACTCAAAACCCCTTTGAGGATTAAAAAGGGGTGACTAATTAGAATGGCGTAGTTTTACAAAGAAAAACGTAATATAAATCTTATTACTCCAACGCAATCAGTTCTAAATAAAATTGCAATTTATACTATAGGAAGCTTTGATCTTAAGTAGAGATTTTTTTACGTAATTTGATTATAATTAAGATCACGTACACTTACTGCCTTAAGAGGCAATTAATATGTACTGCATCTGCAATTAGTTTCATGATCGATAATTTCCACAGCCGATAACCTCGTTAGCAGACATCCGCGTTTGGTTTGCCGGCTCAATCAGCCAGGCATCGGATCGCCCTCTCCCCTTAGGCTGCGTTTCCACCAGAGATGTGCTAGGATGCGTAGCGAGGGATATGTTTGTAAAGAACCAATAACGGGACTATTCCCACCTCTCGTTCCCACCGTTGCAACGCCTTTGTAGCCAGTATGACCGCCAGTAAAAACCCAACCAGGGAAGGTCAAATTTTTCCCGCAACGATATTAATCTGAAGACCACACTTGAGAACAACACACATCACCGGTTGTCATAGTGACGGTCGCATTGACAGTAATAGCAACTGTCAAACAAAATACAAAAATAAAATGTGAAGTCGCCGACAAAAAGTCGACGACTCATGTCAGTTTGTACTGCTTGTAAAAAGCATTACTACTTGATTTACACGGTGCGAATTAATCTCCCGCCGTACCTAACCGGTAGCCGAGTCAGCCAAAATTCAAACCTAGTTAACCGAGGGTTTTCGCAGCGTGCGGAAATCGCACGGAAAATACGCCTGATGCAAACCGGCAAGATATCACTCGGCTCGGTGCGAGTTACAGGCTACCGTGAAGTTCAGGAGTAGTTGAAATTGAGATGAAATTGAATTACGAGTAGATGAAGATTAGGGCATCTGGATCCAACCATTCAGGATCCAGATACCCTAATCTTCATCTTTTCAACATCGTATATTTTATGATCAGACCTAGATACTAGATTATCTAGACTATTACTTATATCATCTAGATCATACAATAAAAATCTCTATAATGTATACTCGAATCGAGAGTTTGACAAGCTTGCATTCAATTTCACTATCATCATTTCGTTATTTGATCTACATTCCGCATCGACTCTAAGAATGTAAAGTTTGAACGATGGGTTGAAGTTTTATTCCTATTCAATGGTATTCTATACGAATTATCTACTGCATTGCATTATCATAAAATAAAATCACCTTTTCTAATTAACTGTTTATTAAATTACATTACATTCATTCTTATTATTTATTAAATTACATACATTCATAAAAAAACATGTTATATACTAGAAAAAAATTAAAAAGGTTGAGACATAAAAATAGTTCCTATACTTTTGATAATATCTTTAACTCGAGTATAAATGTTATCATTAAACACGTTTTCCACAACGTGTTGAGCACAAATTTCTGCATTACACTGACACACAGATTTGGTAGAGTTTTCAAACTGTTCCGCATCGTAAATTTCTATTCGAATCACTTTTGCTCCATGCGATACCGTCCGAATGCTCGAATACAATTTCTTCTGTTGGTTAATGATGATATCACCATATCGTTGATTTTCATTTTCCATATTGTTTATTATTCTTTGCACACTCGTAGGACTCATCCTTCCAGATGCTGGTGGTGAGAGCGGTGTATATGATGGTGAATAAGACCAATTTTCGTGCTGAAACAAATAAGTAATATGATTAGACATTTTTTACAAGTGTAAAAAAAAACATTTGTAAATAAATATTTTATAACTTACCGCCATTATTGCTAGCAATTATTCGTTCGTTATGCTTTAGGTACTAAAAAATACTAATTAATTCCACATCTCAGAACCCTTCCTTTATATTAAAAAGAGTGCTTACGAAATAGTTTAAACACCTGAGGTAATTGGTCTATATTACGTTATAAGCAGTTTTTAATAATAGACCTAACTTTACACTTTTCTATAAAGAATATTACGTTAGTAGTTTAGTGCTATGTAGAGCTTTTCTGTATTTGGTGCTGTCCAAATACGTACGCTGACGTCTGTTCAGTTGCTAGTCCATTAATGTTTGATCATGATACTAACTAATGACTACGACTTTGCCTGGTATATTAAAAACTAATTTTTAGTTTACATGTTGAACATACTTCCGTATCCTACAAACATACGTAAATACGAAACTATGTATGTATAAAAGTTTTGTTACTCTTTTATAAAAATAACTGAACGGATTCAGATAAAACTTAACAGTTTTATAATAACAATATAAGCTCTATTCCATCTATCTCTGTACCGAATTTCATCAAAATCGGTTTAGTGGTTTAGCATAATTAACAGACAGAGTTACTTATGCATAAAATATTATCTATAGTGATATTATAAATACGAAAGTTTGTATGTTTATGTCAAGTTGTTAGGCACAATCCTGCAGCAANCGCAACCTCAACAAACCACCAAAAAAGAAAAAATTCAGGACCAAAAACAAAAAAGTTGCTGTTTCAAAAAGTTCCGCCATATTGTTTTTTGGTTCAAAAAATCTAAAAAACCTGGGTGTCAAAAAATCTAGTTTAAAACAAACACGAACAATTTTACCCCTCTCCCCTCTAAATACCCCAAAAATACCCCTGATCAGTCAGTGAGTCAGTCAGTGAGTGGTAATCGAGCTTTATATAATATAGATAGATAGATAGATAGATAGAAAATAGATAGATAGATAGATAGATAGACTAGCTTTGGTCGCCCGCTACGCGGGCTACAAAATCTAGATCTGCGATGCTGGCCGCTCCGGGCTTCGCCCTACGCGGCACTCGGCCTGCGGCCTCGCATTCGGAGCTCGGCCTTCGGCCTCGCATATAATATAGATATAAGCTCTATTCCATCTATCTCTGTACCAAATTTCATCAAAATCGGTTTAGTGGTTTAGCATAATTAACAGACAGAGTAACTCTGTCTGTTAATTATGCTAAACCACATGCATAAAATATTATCTATAGTGATATTATAAATACGAAAGTTTGTATGTTTATGTCAAGTTGTTAGGCACAATCATGCAGCAATCGTTGGATGGATTTGTATGTTTTTATATACATAGATAGACTATGATCTGGACTAACACACGTTGTTACCCTATTATAATCACGATCGAAACCGTGTGACGATAGCTAGTTTACCAATATACTTACATAAAGGAGAAGGTTAATAAATTAATAATGTAACCAAGTAAACATAGGGTATAAGCATTGTTTAGATATTTTTCACTTATCATCACTTTACATATTTAGAAAACTGCAGATTGCTACTTTTTAACATACGAACTTAACTAATAAGGAAGGGATCCACGTCACAAATCTTTTATTTAAATAGCTCTAGTGTTGAGCGAAAATCACACAGATCGATTGTTATCCTACGGGAAGCCAGTCATTTGAAGATCCCTAGTGCCAGCCAGCCTCAGAAGAACCTAAAGGTTTTCTCAATAATAAAAATGTAAGTACCAACTATTACCTATTATCTACTCTGTAACTAGATTGTTATTTTACTTACTGAATAGAATATACTTTTTAAGGCTACTACACGACTCTTAGGTTCGATTCCTAGACGGAACATACGTTCTGATCTATTCATGTTTTCTATTCTGATCTATTCATGTCTTCATTCATTTTGTATATTCAATTCATGCTATCTATTCTGTTTATTATCTTTAATCGTTTTCTCTATTCTAAGACTATGTCTTAATTAAATTTCTTTATTCGATTCATGTTCTGTATTCTTTTTTATTGTTTTAATTAATTTTCTGAATTCCATTCATGTCCTCTATTCCGCTCATACTATCTATTTATTGTTTTTGTTCATTTTCTGTATTCAATGAATATTCTCTTATATTCGTATTAAACTGTTTTTTTATTGTTTACAGGTCGAAATTGTTGACGAAGGATCTATTCCTCTCCAGTGACGACTCTGAAGTTGAGTCAAAACCTGTGGAAAAGAAGTCTAATAAGCGCAGAAGCTCAAGCAAACCGAGAGAAGAGCCGAAGGTGAAAAAAACGAAGACATCCATCACACCGTACACTCCACCACCTCGACTTACAGCGAACGATCTATTCGGTGAAGACAGCGATGAGGAACATCGGGTGAAACCGTCTACATCCAGCAAAAGCGGTAATATACCACCTCTACTTTCTTCTTTTACAAGAAGAGAATCAAGAGGGTTCTCTAAACAAATAAGTGAGACAAAGGAGGGAAAGTATTATGTGGAATTAAAGATATATAACACGGAGGAGGTACAGAAAATAGCGCCAATTAATAGATGGCGATACGCCATCACAACTATTAAAATGAAACTTGATGAACATAAAGATTCATGGCATACTTTAAAGGAGTTCGTAAATCTAATAAAAAAGGACTTTAGGAATTGTCCAGTCTCATTGCTTGGGTCATACGAAAGTATTATTTAATACGTTATAATATTACCTACTTACACTATTATTATATACTCACCTAAATAACTATGCTATTTACCTACTATAATGTAACCGAATAAGTTATGTAACAGATATTGTAATCTTTGTTCACTGTTATTTTAATTTACAGAATAAGTGTCTTCAATAAATATTAGTATTATTATTTATTTTTTTCTTTTCACAGTTACTGTTGCACACCCTTACGAAACAGCAAGAGCTCAAAATTCTATATACTGTGACAAATGCAAAGTTCTAGTACTGAAAAGACAATATCCATATCATATGAAAACGAATATACATAAAGCTAATTCTTTATTGAATACACAGATTGAAAATATTAACATTGTTGCAACTGCATTCAGAAACAGAATTGTTACATACAGATTAAATGTCGATCAGCAAGTCGAGTACCTCGGCTTAGAGGCGGTGATAAATGACAACCAAGAACAATTAATAGATTTGATCAATTTATCTTTAAATAAACATGACTGCATTAAACTAAATTTTGAATTGTTTGCCTATTTTATGTTGCCAAAATCTGATGAAACACAATTAAAGTCGTTTAATACAAAATATATGATTGTATATAAGAATACTGATTTGAAAAAGTTAATAACGAATATGATGAATACATTTAATGAAAAGTTAACCGAATTTCAACATTGTCAATCTGGGTGGACCTTTGTTTCGTTTAGTCATATCGAAATTAATATAAATAAATATTCTCCTATGAGAGGTGGAACATATATAGACCTACCCATAGCCATAAAAAATTCAAAGAGTTGTATAAATATAAAAAATAATGATGATTACTGTTTTCTATGGAGTATAATGGCTGGACTGTACCCTGCTATGAATAATGTTTGCAAAACTAGTTCATATCCACACTTTTCCGATGTTTTAAATATTGATGGAATATCATTTCCTCCTTCACATGAAGATATTAAACATTTTGAAAAAAACAATCCTAACATAAGCTTTAACATATACGGCTTACGAAAGAGTACTATAACTGGACCTCTTTATGTTTCAAAATATAGAAAGAAGAATCATTTCAATTTACTGTACATAGAAAACAAAACGACAGCTCACTATTGCTTAATAAAGAACTTGACACGTTTAGTACGACCTCAATTCACTCGTTACAAAGGTAAAGTTCATTTATGTGATATGTGTTTACAATTTTTTTGCAGTGAAAAAAAATATAATACTCATAATTGTTCACACATTTTGTCAATTTTACCTGAAAAGAACACTTTGTTAACATTTAAAAATTTTGAGAGACAGCAGAAAATCAACTTTATTATTTATGCCGACTTTGAGTGCTTATTAATTAAATGTGATGAAAGTGACACTTTAAACACTCAGAAACTAAATATTCACCAGCCATCATGCTTCGCATATTATATTTGTTGTTCACATGATGATAAATTAAATAAATATGTGTCTTATACAGGAGCAGACTGTGTTGAAATGTTTGTTAAGTGTTTATTAACAGATGCTAAACGTATACATAAAATTTTAAGTGATAAAAAGTTAATGACCCCTTTAACATTAGAACAGGAATCAAATTATAAAAACGCCATTCTATGTCATATATGTAAACAATTATTAGTGAATGATAAAGTCCGAGATCATGATCATATTACTTCTGAGTACAGAGGAGCGGCGCATTCTCATTGTAATTTGATGCATAGAGTTTGTTCATTCATTCCTGTAGTGTTTCATAATTTATCTGGATATGATTCACATTTATTTATTGAAGAGTTAGCAAAATATGAAGGTCACATCAATGTAATACCGAAAACAAAAGAAAAATATTTATCTTTCACGAAAGTGATTAAAACTGAAGACTATAAAAATCCTATTCAGATAAAATTCATTGATTCATATCAATTTCTTAGTTCTAGCCTAGACATATTGAGTAAAAATTTATCAGATAATGATTTTTTACATTTATCTAAAGAGTTTCCTGATAAAAAAAAGTTTAATTTGTTAAGAAAAAAGGGTATTTATCCTTACGATTACATGAACTCTTGGTTGAAATTTCGAGAAACTCAACTACCTTCAAAATGTGATTTCTATAATACATTGCGAGAGGAACTTAGTAATAATTTATATGGTTATGCGATGATGAAAAAACACCCCATTTNGAACAATGTATGGAGAACGAACATTGTCCTTTTCGATATCAAATCCCTTGCTGAATATACAGATTTATATTTAAAATGCGATGTGCTTTTACTTTGCGATGTATTCGAAAAATTTAGAAAAACGAGTTTGCATTATTACAAATTAGATCCAGCATATTATGTAACCTCACCGAGCCTAAGTTGGGATGCGATGTTATTATACACAGGCGTTGAACTTGAGCTGATAAGCGAATTAGAAATTTATGAATTGTTAGAAAAAGGTATCCGTGGTGGACTAGCGCAGTGCTCATTACGTCACGCTAAAGCGAATAATAAATACTTACCACATTATAATGATTCAGAACCAAGCAGTTATTTGATATACCTCGACTGTAATAATTTATATGGTTATGCGATGATGAAAAAACTCCCCATTTCACAGTTCAGATTCAGGATTCAGAATCAAAGAGTGAAATTAAAAAAATTGATGATGCCAGTCATCATGATGCCAGTCATCCCAGATGATGCTGATTACGGTTATATTCTTGAAGTAGACTTAATGTATCCAGATTATTTACATAATACACATAAAGATTTACCATTTGCTGTTGAAAAAATTATACCCCCGTATGGTAAATCAAAAAAATTGATTGCAAACCTTTATAACAAAAAGAAATATGTTCATTATATTCATCTTAAAGAATGTTTAAAGAATGGTTTGATTTTAGAAAAAGTTCATCGTATTCTAAGTTTTAGACAGGATTGCTTTTTAAAAAAATACATTGATCTCAATACCAGTCTTCGACAACATTCGAAAACAGCTTTTGAAAAAGATTTTTTCAAATTATTAAATAATTCAATATTCGGAAAAACGATAATCATAATAATCATAATCATAATCATTTATTTGCAATTAANCGATTGAAAATAAACGCAAACAAACGAATGTTAAATTAATTTCAAAATGGAGGGATCATGATAATAAAACTAATAAACAGCTTGGTGCTGAAAATTTGATAATTAAACCAAACTTAAAGAGTATAACAATATTTTCAGAAAATTTTGTTGCTATAGAGTTAAATCATGAAAAGGTTGTTTTAGACAGACCAATTTATATCGGGTTTACAGTTTTAGAATATGCAAAGCAGCATTTATATCAGTTTCACTATAATTATATAAAAAATAAATACGGTAAAAATGCTAACCTATGCTATACTGATACTGATAGCTTATTATATTTAATATACACAGACGATTTTTATCATGAGATGCATAATGATATTCAAATGTATGATACTAGCAATTTTGAAATCGATAACCCTTTTCACATACCACAAGTTAACCCAAAAATACCCGGATTATGGAAACATGAAATGGGTGACGACTTGATTACAGAATTTACTGGTTTACGTGCAAAGTTATATTTTATAAATAGCGTTAAAACTCAGATAAAAAAAGCGAAAGGTGTGTCTAAGTCAGTAACTAAAAATCTTGAATTGAAAGATTATAATAATGTTTTATTAAAAAATGAAGTACTCAGAAGTAAAATGAATATGATAAAATCAATCAAGCATGTTTTATATTCTCAACAAGTAGATAAACAAGTTTTAGAGGGAAATGATGACAAAGTTCAAGTATTACAAGATCAGATTCATAGCATACCGTGGGGTCATTGTGATTCAATACTTATGGATTAGTAACGATGTGAGAAAGTAATTGTATGAATAAATTAAGGTTGTTAATGGAATAATAACCTGTTTCATAAATAAATTTCCTATATTAATAGATATTGTAACTAAATGATATTGTAATTGGTTATTTAATTTTAAGAATTATTATATTTTGATTATAATGTAATGAATAAATGATTAAATGAAATACCTGGTGTTTTTTTAACCGTAACCTTTTGTTTTCTGCTCATAGTAAAAACCACTACACCATTGTGATCGATGTCAGTTCATTAAAATCTATCAAACAATACAGTCATATATCAAACCTGTTATGAAATTTCTTAAACAAAAAGAATCACTTAAATTAGAATGTATCGATCCTACATCAAAAAACGAGGTTAAACGTCATGGAAACTTACTACCAAACACTATACGTAGTATTGTCTGTGGTCCATCGAATTGTGGAAAAACTAACTTAGTTATCAGTTTATTGTTACACCAGAATGGACCACGTTTCCGTAACCTTTATGTATATTCAAAGTCTTTATATCAACCTAAATACTTATTTTTAGAAAAAGTATTGCAGAAGGTATCAGGCACATCTTATTACACGTATAATAATAATAGTGAAATTTTGAGTCCACACGAAGCTTCACCTAACTCAATTATAATATTTGACGACGTAGCTTGTGAAAATCAGAACAACATACGTGATTATTTCGCTATGGGTCGACATAAGAACATTGACTGTTTTTATATTAATCAAACTTATACTAAGATACCTAAGCAACTAGTAAGAGATAATGCAAACCTGATCATATTGTTTAAGCAAGACGAAATAAATCTGAGACACATTTATGATGAACATGTAGGGTCTGATATGACATGGTCTCAGTTCCGTGAAATGTGCTCAACCGTATGGAGTAAACCTTTCAATTATGTTGTTATAAATAAAGATTGTGAACGAAATAAAGGCTGTTACAGAATGAAGTTCGATACATTCATACTAGTAGACTAAACCTTTTAAATAGCTGCTATGTCACAAAGCCATCAGTTTAATTTGATTAGTTGAACAGAGTAGAATCCTTTACAATGGAACGAGATCTCAAGAAACAAATAAATTTCTGTCCATGTAATGCTTTTTAGGTGTTTTTTAAATTTATACATATTTTCACGACTATAGTCACGCCTAAAAAAGGAATACGATAGGGGTCCTTTGTATTTATTTTTTATGGGGAAACTCAGTAACTGTGCAGTTTCATGATCGGAAATATGAAGTGGTAAAACTTCGGGAGAGGCGTCATCT